CGGTTGTACTTCCAACTGAAATGAGTGGAGGAAATTGGACAGTTGGTAATGGAAAGACTATGCGTGATCCCTCTGTTCGTGGCATCGCCAGCAACGTCCAGTGATTGCCACTTTGACATGCGCTAAGTGGTTGTGCTAAATGATGCAGCAGATGGAATGATCGGCTTCAAAAGAGTGCAGTAGACGTAGCATATTCTCTGTATGGAGAGTAAGTAATTGAATGCTTGAATTTTGCGTTGGAGGAGCACCTGACCACTTGGATATAGTCGCCCGAAAAGGGAATCACATCGATGGTTACATTCCACGACCTTCTTGCATGCAAATATGCAGCTCGTGAATGATGAGGATGTTTCAGTGGAAACTACCTCCGGATGGTGCATTTTAGCAAGTGAGGATAAGCTGGTGTAGAGAGAAGTAGGCAGATCAGCACAGTGGTATTGGTGGTAAACATTGTCCTTACTTGCATGTTGCCATTTGAAGTTGATGAGCTTTATCTGTGGTAGCGTCTGATAAATAGCCGTGTTTACTCGTCATTCATCCTCTATGCTCACTTATTTCATTCAAAAGCCTATCTAGATGTCATTACATATTGCGAAATTGGTGCTAGAAGATGGACGACATTCAGCTAAACAAAAAAAATATAACAAAATTGAAAAATGTTGCAATAGTAGCTTACCAGCAATCATGAATAATAAAAACAGTACTATTTGCAACAAATTAAATGTACTGTTAAATTTGGCCAATGGAATGCATATATTCTTGCCCTGTGGATCTGTTGATTAGACAACCTTAGCGAGAAATGAAATGATTTTGAGCACAGTAATGCAATATGTGAATTTAGGGGTAAGGAAACTCGTTACATCATCATTACCATCCTTAAAGTTCCAACATTTCCAAAGCTGTTGAAAAGCAAGGGATGCAGTACATTCACTAAACGATGTATATTACAATAAAGGGGACTAAACGCCGCACGCTACACAGATGCACACAAAGAAAATTTTCTCGGTTTTTTTTGGCAAAGCAAACAAAGTTCTCGTCTTTGGTCATTTCAATTTTAATATCCTTAATGAACTCCAATGCTATTGACTAAATATCATTTAAATTCAAGTGGAAGAAAGATTCACCTTTGAAAACTAGATTTTTGGATGCTAATTACGTAGCAGTATACTCTTTGTAAAAGGCCAAGGTCAGTAGTAGAGGACGAAGGAAAATGCATGCCCTGGGGGATCAGGGAGGAAATGAAGAGTTCTACCTCAAGGGTTGAAATCAATGCAAACACGAGGGCGGATGTTTGCGGATGAAGATCAAGTCCCCAACTTGATGGGGAATTAAATGCTGAAAGCCACGTAAGCTACCACCCCAAATACAAAAATGAGACAAAATAGTCAAACTAGGTCGGTTTGCCTACAGGATGCTTTGAATTTTGGCATGTTTAGAAATAAGCTAAAGCAAGGCTTACAGACTCACCTCTGTTGCACGAAAAGGTGGTTCACTATTGTGTTCGGAACGCACATCAGTGACGGGGTTTTGTAATAGCAGCTTGGGACACATATTGCATTCCAGTTAAACAGATCCATAATTTGAGGAATGACTTTACACACTTCTACCAGCTGTGCGATGGAATTCACAGGCATGCTTGGACCCAGAAATTAACTGTCAAGCCATTACAGGAACTGCGGGCACGCCCCTCTAAGGCTGGCTTATCCCGCTGACTTTGGTTCAGACACCTGCATTTATCAGCAAGATTTGGGGTAGTATGTTGTCATGGTTCCAGAAAATTGCTCCACATCCGCTTTATGAGGTTAGAATGACTCTTTTACAAGCAAATGCCTTAGCACTTGCACTGTACATTGGGTGAATGTGAAGCGATCTCCGTTTCTTCGGTTACAGGAGTCGACGCGACATATTCTAATGCAAAAATATTTCTACAGTCGGCATATAATCGATTCTAGAATGTTAAATTGTTTTTGCTACTGTGCCCTTGAACACAAAAGGCTAGCAAAAGTGAAGTATATTAAGCCTTACTACATCCCGCAAATATTTGGTATGGTTATAACTCATAGCATAATTTGTATATCTCCCAGTGGAATTAAACTCGTGCGTCATGCGAACACCTTTCAAATTGGAGGCAGTTGGGTACAAATAAGAAGTTGGAAGAATCAATCTTATAATTGAAGGTATGTAATTTGGTTTCCTCACTTACGCCTCTTTGGCGTTTCTTCTCCAGCATGACCTCAAAATACTCCGCTGTTGTCTGCATCAGCACCTTGCTTCGCAAACATAGAATTTCAAAATGTTCTGTCATCAACGGAACGCACAATTCCATCAATCCACGATTCGGAGCCACATTGGTTACTGACCACACTTCTGATACATTGTCTAGAGAAATCCTTAGGACAGTCGGTTGTAACTCCCAGAAAAGCTTCACCCACCTCGTCCTTAGAAAATCCACACACCACGAGGCGATAGTGTCGGATCCGAGATTATGTGCCAGCAGATAGATTCGTGTGACATTTGCCGCAGAGATTGTGATGCTGCCTGTGTACGCGTAGTTGATGGCAGCCTCCACAATGCTGAAAGGAGGTTAACGATGAAGAAAAAATGCGTAGGCACTCTTTAGAAAATCGTCTCTATTGGACTGCAATTTCACTTCGCTGAGATGATAATGCTTTCATCAAAAGTGGAAACGTGGCGGCTACGATGAGTCGGTGTGCCTCCACGTAATTGCCGTCCTCTGGCTAGAAGTCGAAGCGTAATTTCAATGTCCACCAACTTACTATAATTCAAAGATCAATCAGCTTGCCCATTTCACGTAAGAGGCAAAACTTGTGGCTCAGAGATGAGCCTTCACTCTCGTCTGAATACTGCACTGTCGCCATGGTTTAAGGGAAGAATCGTGATATGACGGTGCGGAGAAGTGCCTTTTATGTTTAACACAAGACACCTATAATTGGATGAGTGCCCACGAAGAATTTGTGCGTTGTGTTGAGAGGCCATTGAGCAGACCTGAAGAAGGCGATGGGTAGGGTGTGGTGGGTGGAAGATGGGAGCACCTGAGCACACCGATTAGCGGCAATTAATTTTGTACTTTACTTGGAGTTAAATACAATGCCTAGGTTATCATTTTAACTGTTCGTCTTGGGCACGCAGGCATTTAGAGCTGCGCTTTTGCAATTTTGCTGCACAGCTTGGACTTCGTGTACATGCCACTTTGCACCATCCATTCTGTGACTGGCCAACACGGATTCAGCAAAGACTTGGCCACTCTACTTCTGGCAGTGGAAAGCGAGCCCAATTCTCATTGGAACCAACATCGGCAGAAAAGAAATTGAGGATTCCTTTCCCTCATGAGCCTAACATCATATTAACACAGCTAGATATGGCAAAAATAACTAATACTAAATTTCATTTATTTGGGACTGCCGCGAACTTTGTATAAGTCTAGACTGATACAAGATGCCCATTAGCGCAGTCCGTGTTTGCACTAGTTGTAAACGCTTCTTAAGTCGGCCATCCGCTAACTGGCAATGTACAGCTTCCACTATGATTACAATTTTACGTGTCCTTAATGAGGTATTCAGTCAATCGGACAAAAGAGACTGGTCAGAGGAAGATGGCATGCATAGCGGTATTGTGGAATGTCACAGAGAGACGTACTGTCATGCTTTGCAGACAGGTTCAAAGGCGGAGAGTTTGGGCATTAACACCGTTTGCTTTCCACAACTTTCGGAGAGAGGAGACCGATACATCCTGATAATGGCAGACTGCATTACAAAGTAGCAGAGGCAAAACTTATGAAGACACAAGGCGCTGATACAGTGGTTTATCCTGATCGAAACAGATTGAAAGGCAAGAAATCCACAACTGTTTGTGGAACAAGCCTTCGCTGCAAAAGTGACTGCTGTGCTGTTAGTCGCCCAGTTGAGGAATGAGTGTGCTTACCAGGAATATGTGCGGTGGCTGCCACAAAGTGAGGGAACGACGGGAGACAAAAGTCGACACAAATGGGGAGAGCAATGAAATTAGAGGTATGGAACTTCTTACGCACCAGCGGCATCAAAACTTGT